AGCCAATCAAAATTAAGAACATTCATGAAATGAATTCGTGGCGTATTCATAGAATAATTATTAGTCAAAATTAAATTAACAATTTCTAATATATAGAAAAGCCAGAAATGGCTTTTATGTCATGTTGCTTAGCAAGAAACGTTTAACCTAATATTGTTGTTAGTCTATGTACCGAAACTATAAAATGAAATGTATAGACAACACAAGTGTGGCACCCCCAGGGGCACAGCGGCATGTCTGAGAACTTACAACGCTAGAAAGCGGGTTTCAATACCCGTGGTGGGCAAAGCACAAATAGTCCATTGTGTGGCCTTGTGCTTAATTACAAACAAAACTGTAAAAAATATTTAGTGATTTCTTACTCTAGAGTCTCCATTGATTAAAGAAATTTATTTTTTATTTAAAACGTTGGTGATATAACAGAAAACAGTTTAATTCAGAAACGATTTAAGTTTAAAATTAAATCGACATTTTTACATTCGTGATAAATTTTATAAACTTGGATTTAGGCTAGGTGATCCCACACTACGTCTTTACTTTAGGCTTATTATACCAACACTCACTACACTTATAAGGTTTCCTCTTCACGAGCCCTCTTGCACTAAAATCGTAATGGACAGACAGTAATCGAGCTATTCTATCTGGATAAAGCATTTTGGCTTTTATCACTCCTCCTATTTCGAGCCCCCCTCCCACTCCCCATTGGCACAGCGGTATATCTGTGAATTTACATAACTTCCGTCCAGGGGGAGGGGTACTCCAGCTTGTTATATCAATATTTTAATAGTAGGGAAAAAAATTCATTTGCTTCGAAAATATATGTTATATTTGAAGACATCTTTTTAATTTATCATCAATAATTCTGCCATTAAGTTACAAAAAAATAACCGTGTACGAATTGTTTTCCTGTGTTGGTAAAATCTTAGTTTATAAAATAAAAACCTCTAGATACTTGAAATTATCAGTACGGTATCGTACAAACGAATGCGTACGTATTAATTGCTAACACGTTAAGAATTGTGTCAATATGCTGGACGTTCTTATAACAAGATCACGTGAACAGCAACCTGACAAATACCTAGCAAACGTCTGCTTCGTACTTAAGTGGCCTATGTTGGATCAACAGTAAGTCTGTGGGCTTATAACACTAAAACTCTGGATTCGAAACTCGCAGTGGGCAAAGCACAGATAGCCCATTGCGTAGCTTTGCGCTTAACAAAGAACAAAGCATACTTAAGTAGATACGTTGTAAGAGTAAGATTCATAACAAGTACGCCAAGCTTTTCCTTCATAACTGATTATTTCTTGAATTAAGCAACGATAAATATTCGTCGGTTTAGAACAGTTTTAACTTCTCAGCATCACAGTTCTTCTCTATTGCCAAATAGTATTTTCTCTGATATTCAAATGTTTTTTCTGCCTTATAGTGACAACCGCCATGTCGTTTGATCCGTTTTACTTCCCATATGTTAAAATTTCGTCGAATATGTTGTTTGCTGAATTTATGCGCATAGCTATACCAGGGTTATCTGCCCATAACCGTGAGAGGAAAAAAAAAGGCTACTAGTCAACAACACCAACCGCCAACTCGTGAGCTACTCTAATTGATTAGTGAAATTTGATCGTAACTCTTATAACGCACCCACAGCCCGAGAGTGCAGAGCGTTATTCTGTTTTTATTTATTTATTTTCGGCGGTAACAGGGCGACTCTCAGATCCACAATCGACCGTCGCACGATATGAACGATAAGGTTAAGAACGAAAGGAATTAGGTCGACTCAATGTATCACTATTTCGTTAGAAAACCAAACAACGTAGGAGCAATTAACCCTTTTTTCTAATAAATATCTGATATATAGTTTACCAAACGAAAAAAAAAAACCTTTATCCACTTTTACTGATTTAAATCCCACTATATAGAAATGTGGAAATATTCTTAAAAATAAAGCATTTGCTAGACTAGGACTATCTTATCAATCAATAAGATAAGAAGGGTACAACGTGTTAACTATTCTTCATAAAAATTTCTGAAGTTAAAGTTTATAGATCAGTATTACATAAGGAAGCTGAATAATTATGTAAAGTACTGGCGTAAATGTGAAAGTAAATGCATTAGTTTAATATTACAAAGCAAAAAAAATCAGGTAAGTTTCTTAATTTATTTTATTTAATTATGGTGAGTAGTTCCAAATGTAAAACTTAGTTTTCTGTACTTTTTTTTGCGCGATTATAACGGAAGGACTGGTTGGCATTTAAAGATGAGCCTGGGTACCGCTAACGTTGGTAGTGTGATCGATTTCAGATCACGTGATCACGGTGATTTCGAGGACCGAAGTTGCATCGTGAAAATGTTGTGAAGAGAGCTGCTGTTGTTGTTTTTTTTTTTTAATGTGGGCTTTATTTGCGTGAAAAGCCGCATTTAAAATAAAATTTCGCGATAAAATAAAAAAAAAATCTTTTAACTTTTATTTTAAATGCCATTACTTTTTTTTCCTAAGATAGGTTTGTAATGCTTATTCTTTCTTCTGATGAAAGAAGTTTTTCTTTTCTTTTCACTTTACAAAACTCAACATTTATTTCACTAAATTTTCATCTTTAACGCCTTATTCGGTTATGTAGGAATGTGTGTTCGTGCTTGCAATTTTGACTTTAATTAGTTTTAAGTGTCGACTACACCGAATCTTATATTTTACTGTAAAGTGGGATCTTAATGAACTGAAAACTGCATTATTTTGCATATGTCACTTCGGTGGCTAAGCGGCAAGCCTGGGAGGCTAGTAACGCTAAAATCCGGGTTTCGCAAACAAATATAATTTGCTTAATGCGTGGAATAGCTTTAATCAAAAACGTTCAATAAATATAGATAAGAATTTTGTTGAAACTAATGATTAGCTCAACTCAGGAAGTGAACGATTTTTTTAGGTGGTATTTAGTAAGAGGTGGAGGTCAAAGCAGGAGCAATATAAAACACTGAAAATGTGTCTAACACTACAATCTGTCAACGTTCAACGTAACAATACGCTTACTTTAATCTTTTAATTATACATGGGGGGAAACTCTAGTGGTAGCTTCTGTAGAATTTTGTATTATAGTTTTTTTCATATCACTTAGTTGTACTGCTAAACACGTACACTTGTGTTTCTTACTAAATAGCTAATAACCTTAATTTCGACTTTAATTGTCTCCTTTTATTCATAGGAGGCGTAACAAATTTGAATATGGAAGCACCTTATTTGTTATATTAACTGTGACCGTTGAAGTTAAAGTTGAAACTTGTTTGTTTAAAGTTAAGCACAAGGTTACGCAATGGGCTATCTGTGCTCTGCCCACCACGGGTATTGAAATCCGGTTTCTCGTGTTGTAAGTCCGCAGATATTCCGTTGTGCCACTGGGGGAGGGGAGGGCAAAGTTGAAGGAGTGACTTTCCTTGATAGTTATAGGTAAGTCTATTTCCCATTCACAAGGACACTTCACCACCAGGTTAAAACATTTGGGGGTACGTGTCCCCAGTGCCGCCCACATTCTAGTTTTCTATCACTTATCAATATTTGAAACATTTAATATAAATATTGTCAAACAGGATTGGTCAGTTTAAACAAATGCTCTTCTTAATCTACCACTAAACAAATAATGTTTCTAATGTTACAAGCTTGATTATTATATTATAAGATGTGCCAAGTTTCATTCGAATGTTACAACTTCTGGGATAATAATTACAAGCGTATATGTCCTCTACAAATTTCGTTTTTCCTTATTCTTTACTTAGACGTTAATTTGACCTTTAAGAAAATGTTATACATACATATTTTTAAGGGAAAATGTTCTCTCTTCGTATGGATATAATTTTGGTATGAAATTATACAATTCGATCAACGTTCTCAAATACAGACAGTTACAATACGTTAAGTAAATATGAAAAAAACATGAGTGTATTTGAATAAATAAAGGAATGTTTTCATTCTATTAGAGATACGAAAAGATGTTTGTTAAGAAGTATTCACGTTTGTCATCAAAATTTAAAGATCGAAAAAAAACTAAGTAGTGTGAGTTTAAAATATTAATTTATTATTGTAATAAAAGAATTAGAAAAACCGCCTGGTGTCTTCACCTTGTCCACAAACGCTCATAGAAACGGCAGACATGGACGCTAGTCGCTTGATATCATCGATACACGAGTCCAATCCTATAACGATGACGTCATGCCGAGCTCACGTGACTTGTTACATACAGTTCGAGTACTGGGGGTTGGAGAAGGCAGCATCAGTGCATTCAAACGTTCGAAAGAAAGAGAGGGGTAAGACACAAACGAACAGTTAGAAACAGGCAGAATCAGTACAATGTCGAAATATCTATCGGAAATACCATAAAAATGTTTTTCTTGAAAAATACAACATCGCTACAACATAGAAAATTGGACAGATATCAAAGAATTTTAAAGTTCTATGATATATAAAGTACTGTAAAATACAGATTGAGATAATAAGCTACCAAAATGCCTGTTCTTAAACAAGATTTTTTTACTAGCCTGCTCAATCCACGACAGCTGATCAGTTCGTCTCCAAGAAGCACTCCAGATTTAAGAACGTTGGATAATCAGGATTGTGTTAGGATAGAAGCCAACCCTGGTGCACTTCCCATTATTTCCCTACCGGATGAATTGGATCCTCTTATGTCCGACGGACTTGACTTACAGCCTCTTTTACCTGACAAAAAGGTACATCGAGGTAGAAAAAAATGTAAACGTAACGGCATAAATAGGTCTCAGTCTATGCGGAACTCTAGGCAACCCCAGTCGGCTACTTCTTCAAGAAAATTTCGCTCGAGAATAGCTAGCATTCCCACCGAACATAGTGTACTTCCTGGAAGTTCGGCTCCACTCCGTTCATCTTCTGACCATTCTCTCGCGTTATTAGGAGCCGATAGCGACTTCCAACGACTCCGAAACTTTTACGTGACTCCTAAAGGACTTGTCAACCGAGGGGACTCCTTCCGCTGCAAATCTCGTAGCGCCCACAGTGTATCGTCCATAGGGTCGCAATATTTTCCGTCTACGACTCCTCCAGGATCGCCCAATATTTATCTCTCTTTACCCGAAGTTCCCAAAGCCTTATCTATTACTGTCACCGACACGGAAAGGCACAGAGTGCTAGTGGTGGGAGCGTCAGAGGTTGGAAAATCTTCCTTAACCACCCAATTTACAACTTCCGTATATATGTGTGCCTATGACAACTCTCAGGGTAAGAAATAGTAGTTTGTGTTCTACAGTTTTTCATTATTTGTGGATTTTTCTATGATTCATTTCCTTTGAATTTTAGACTTATTGAAGTGTACATAATTCATAAAGAAATACTTATATTCTGAAGTACTGAGAATGTCTGGTAGAACCCAGTCTTTATGTTCAAGAAATCAAACCTTTAATGTTAAAGCGAACGAAAACTGAAGCACTTCTTACTTCACAAGAAGGTTTTTATTTTGGGCTAAAACTATTAATACACATAATGTATATATTTATATATGTGTGTGTGTGTGTGTATACACGTAATTATTGTAATGTTGTTCTCTGCTATCACTTATCGTTGTAAAATTACATTATCTGTATTTAAATATATTGTTGTTGCAACGTGTATTTATAGTTGCTATTGTCGCTGTTTTACGCTTCTTATTATTACGAAGCCATGTAATTTCGATTTATCCTCATCACTGTTCATGTTTTCAATCGTCTATCGCTACGCAACTTTGTAATTCATATTTATATACTGGTTATTACTGTTGGTTGTTATCGACAGGAATACAATTCTTTGCAGACTAGCGTAATTCTGCGGAGAAAACAACAAGCTGGCCCCTTGCCAATCCTGAGCTGATTCAACCATCCTTACAACACTTGATATACATATGCACTTCTTTTTGCGTAATAAAGTTTACTGTAGGCAGCTGTATGGTGAAATTTCTGAATTTGAAACGCGAAATGAATCAAGTGACAATGTTAAAACTTCAATAAAAAAGTAAACTATTCGCTTAAGGGAACCGAAGGTTAATATCGATTAATTGTCGTTGTCTTTTTTTAAAACCAGAATTAATTCGTGTTGTTCCTTGAAACCTTAATCAAAAAGAACCCCTAGATTTTTTAAACGTTCAAGTGAATCAATATATTTACCCTTTACTGAGCCATAAAATTTGAGAGTTCAAATTTTTGAACTAAACTTGTAGGTGGTGCAGATTTTAAATCCTCAATCTTGATACGAAATTTGTCTTCTTAAAACCTCAAAGTTGAAAACCTAAGCCACCCATGGATTTAATTTTAATCCATATCTGGTTTTCAGATTTTACGGCAACAAAATTTTGATATATATACCTTAAGGTTTCAAAGTTAAAACCTGGGCCATCTACGCACCTGTAGAAATGAAAAGCATTTCTCTTTACTAACCCCACCCCAAAAAAATGAAAGATCAATAACCTTCATAACTTGCAACCCAGACTTCTAGAGAACCGTGTGTTTTTAAAGTATAAAAGCCCATTTTGATTGTTCAATACAAATCTAATAGTAGCTGGCGTGTTTATATACTTAAATATTGGAGATCTATAGTGTATAATATAATATCACTAAGTTGAGTCTCCTTTCCAAAACATTTCATGAAATGTAGACTGAAGAGAAAAATATATTTTTAGAAACCTAGTAAATACTATATTTCAAATACATGAAACTAAACACAGACGTGTGTAAGATTATCAGTAGGAAACTCAGACCCCCTGCTGTTAACGTAAAGGCTTTGTAAAAGTTATGAGATAGTCATTATCGTTGAAAATTATAGTAAAGAAACCTAATAATGGGTAAGTACGATCATAAAAGAGTGGTGCTATACGAAACTAACGAAAGCTTTGTTCCCTGATTAGAATAGCGATTAACTTAAGAAATTATACTTTGTGTTTAAACATTACTTCGATCTTCGAATGTTGCTTTTTTAAAATAAATCTTGATGATAATGAAGAGCATCACATATATTGATTAAAGTAAACTCTGCTTACATAATAAATAAAGACTTAGAAAATACAAAATATACTCAATAAATTACTCTTTTTTTTTTAATTCTTAAGTGCGTGTCGTTTTTAACATCAGAATTACCGATAGGCCAATTTGAACCCTACCAACTTTTTAAACATATTCGTCTATACTGCTAAAGCACTAAATTGCTTATGGGTCCACGACTTTGTTGGTTATAGAGTCCTTAATAATAATGGGTCACACAAGAAAATATTGCAGCCAATCCCATTATGTTAAAAATCACATAGAAATGCGGGTAATTTCACCCATTTTTTTTTTGTGATTAATTTTTTTACACTAAGTGTTGTAACAGAGAAACACATAAAACTACTCAATACGATGCAGTATACGTCCTCATCAATAGAAAACTGTATAAAAATAAATCAGTAATTTCGGAATTAAGTGAAGTATTGATACGATTTGGGGGAAGTTTGTAACAAAACTATTATGTAAATTTTTTGTTTTTCATTTGAATTTTACACTAAGAAATTAAAACGTTACTTTGCCTACGTGATTTTATGATTTTTTTTTCTGTGCCAAACTTTACAGTTGTGAAACTTTGCGCATGCGGTTTGGTCATTTGAGGCGTTGTTTGTTAATTAATATCAAAGCACATGTGAAATACCTTTTCGTTTTGTTCCAAACATTGAAAACCGAAGGATAACAGTTTAAATGCAATATATTCTTTATAGTTGAAGATATACTCTCAATATAGTTTTATATTTTATACCGAAGTTGAAGATATACTCTCAGTATAGTTTTATATTTTACACCGAAGTTGAAGATATACTCTCAGTATAGTTTTATATTTTATACCG